GCCAAGAGCGTTGAGAATTGAAGTTGTCTCGACTATTTTGGAAAGTATAAAGAAAGCTCAAAGCGAAGCTTCTGAGAAGAATGACCGAAAGGAGGAACGTTTGGGCAAAACGTTGGTGTTCGGTGTAAACAGTCATGGAGTGAAGGTGTTCCAGGATCAGATTTGGATACCTAAGACAGGAGGAGTCAAAGATCTTCTGATGGAAGAAGCTCACAAGACCATGTACTCGATTCATCCTGGTAGCACTAAAATGTATAGGGACCTGAAACCCTACTACTGGTGGCCGACGATGAAGCTTGACATTTCAAAGTATGTGGCGGAGTGTGTGACTTGTGCGAGAGTCAAGACACAACATCAAAAACTGTATGGGAGTTTAGAACCATTGCCTGTACCTATGGGTAAGTGGGAAGACATTGCTATGGATTTTGTCACTAAACTGCCCAGAACAAAGAATGGTCACGACATGATTTGGGTGGTCGTTGATCGATTCACCAAGAGCGCGCATTTCATACCAGCCAAGGAGAAATGGTCTATGGAGAAGCTTGCAAATTCTTATGTGAAGAAAATTGTGAGACTTCACGGTGTTCCGCTAACAATTGTGTCGGATCGTGATAGTCGTTTCACCTCAAGATTTTGGAAAAGTCTACAAGAGGAATTGGGTACCAAGTTGTGTTTAAGTATAGCTTACCATCCGCAGACTGATGGTCAGAGCGAACGAACAATACAAACACTTGAAGATATGCTAAGAGCATGTACCTTAGAATTCCAAGGTAACTGGGATGAACATTTACCTTTGGTAGAATTTTCCTACAATAATAGTTTCCACTCGAGCATTAAGATGGCACCTTATCAAGCTTTGTACGGGCAGAAGTGTCGTACGCCATCTTGTTGGCTTGAGGCTGGGGAAAAACAGTTTATGGGCCCCGATTTGGTTTATCAAACTGCTGAGAAGTTGAAAATAATTAGGGAAAGAATGTTAGCAGCTCAGGATCGTCAAAAGAGTTATGCTGACAACAAGCGAAGACCGAGTGACTTTTGAAGTTGGAGATTCGGTTTTGCTTAAAGTCTCGCCATGGAAGGGACTTATAAGATTTGGTAAAAGGGGAAAATTGAGTCCAAGGTTTATTGGACCGTTTAAAGTTCTTCAGAGGATTGGGAACCAAGCTTACAAGCTCGAACTACCAGAAGAACTAAATGGAATTCATAACACTTTCCATGTGTGTTATTTGAGGAAGTTCACGGGAGAGGTTCCCGACATGATTCCACTTTCGGAGTTAAGAATCGATGAGAACAAAAGGTTGCTTGAAGAACCAGCGGCAATCATTGACCGAAAGACTAAGAAATTGTGAAGTAAGATGGTTAAGTTAGTGCTTTTCCGATGGAAACACACGAATGGGCTGAATCTCACCTGGGAGACGGAGAGTGACATGATGGGTCGCTATCCGCATTTGTTTGCTGATGTGTGATTCCGGGGACGGAATCATTCTAAGGTGAGGAGAATTGTAACGCCCGTTTTCTGGGCTTGCCATTTTTAGTAATGTAATAGTCTAGGTTAACCTTTGTAACCCCAATTTGAAATAATAAGAACGTATTATTTGAGTATTATGTGTTTTGTGCTTAATTGCTTAATTATGTGATATAATTAATTAAGAATAACATGAGCATCAAAATTTAAGTGTAAAATAAACTTGATATCTTTGGATAATGTTGTATTAGTTGAAATGAGGTTTCCGAATATATAAAGAATGCCGAAATCCGAGTTATAACGAAGAAGTTATGACCTGTCGAAGTTTCGTGACAGAACCAACAACGTTGAACGACGTAAAAAGTGAAATTTACGTTAGAGCGATATTTAGCCTTAGTAATCTAAACGAAAGTCGTAGAGTTCGTTAAACCGAGAGCGTGCATAAAATGTTCACCCAAATCGGACTTCGTATGAGGAAGTTATGATTTTCGAAGTTTCGACGTGACAGTATGCAGCCTGAATACTCGATTTGAGATTGAGCGGTTTTTAGCCGAAACAATCTAAACGAGAATTGAAGATCTCGTTGTTAGTAGCGAAACGATGAAAAGTTAGGCGAGAACGGACGTCGGATGAAGAAGTTATGAATTTATAACGAAGTTTTTCTGTCCCGGCCTCCTAAAAATAAATAATAAAAATAAAAGTCAAAATTAGCCGACGGAGTCTAAATGAAAGTTGTAGAGTATGGTCTGACCTATGGGTGGATATAAATAACGTCGAAAACGGAGCTCGTATGCGAAAGTTACGCAATTTAGAAGTTTGACGAGTCTAATTACGCTAAGCATAATTTGAGTACGCCCAGCGTACTCAGGAGGATGCAACTTGTCTGACCAATACTCGAGTGCCACCAATCGACGCATGCAGTGACGTCAAAATACGCCCAGCGTAATCCCAGACCCCCAGCTTATAAATAGAAACCAAGATCAGCCATTTTCTCTTGTTCAAACTCTTTCCTCTATCTAGTTTTGCCTCGATTTGCGTGCTGTTTGTACCCCAAAGCCCCGGTAATATTCCCGAGCCCCGAAGTAAGATCCGAAGCCCCGAGGATCCCGAAGAGCGTTATTCCCGAGCTAAAGCGCTGCCCGCGAGGAGCCAGTTTTTGTGAAGATCTTCCAGATCTACGGAGAAACACCTCGTTTGCAAGCCGTAGTGCTGCCCGATCATCTCCTGATCATGTGAGTGTGTAGTTATTTTCATTCCATCGCAATATTATGAAGTATTTTATATAAAATATGTGTTATGTGTATATATTTTGTTGTTATACGTGTGAGTGTATATTCACTCTCTTCTATCTTATAGATCTGATTTATTCTCTATGAAATACGTGTTATGTGTGTATGCCTCATCTGTTATGTGGAATATGTGTCGATTAAAGCATGTTATACAGGTTTTTAAACAATGTATAAAAAATGTATATTTTTATCTACAAATAAGTTGGGTAGAACATGGGTAGATAATTGGTGAGTAATAAACAGATGAGAGGCCTCAGTGTTATTGGTGTTATTCTAGTCATTCAGCAGAGTATGGATGACGACCACGGACTATTCTAGACTATCTTGTGGAACACTAGCAGGCTCATTACCTGTAGGTGTTGTGAACGACGTGTTCACTGGTGTACTCTATCCCCCACATGGTTGCCTTTAGGACACTTATTGTTGAGGAAGCCCCTCTGCAATAGATAAACATATATCTAGAAAACGGATAACAGGTAGATCCACAGATTACTAAGCATATCATCATCCTACATACCATGATACCGATCTAACAGATCACTACAACATTGTAACATACTATCATATAACAAGAGATCTACTCCAATGGGCTGACCTTGGTGCCTTCTACCCGTAAGTACAGTGAGGAAAACTCACCTTACAGACTGGACAAAAGCTGATGAGGTCCTGACTCCGAAACTCAGCTCTAACCGTCACCTATCCAACCAAATGGCCAATCGAAATCAAAAACCCAAAATACCCTTAGGTCAAACTTGGTCAAACTTATTCAAATTCAAATTCAAATTCAAACTAATCAAATCAGCTGACTCAATTGAGTCAAACCAACCGAGTCAAATCAGCCGAGTCACCACAAAGTGAGTACGTAGGACGTACTCTAAATGTACGTTGGGCGTACTCGAATATTGACCACCATCGGGGTGGTTGACCTCGTATACGATGCGTACTGCAGGTACGCGGGGCGTACTCCCACCTGCCCAATTCTTTCATTAAGAGCTTAATGACTTAAGCTCTCATGTCCATCTTTTAGTTCTATGGCTAAAATACCCTTAAGAGTCATAAAGTTTCCAACTTTATGACTTTGCATGTCCATTAAGTGCTTAACTAAACTTCTTAATCCATTAAGACCTTCTAAATGATGCATATAGAAAAACCAACCATCTGGAACCCATTATTATGACTCAAGACCCCCCCCCCCCCCCCACACACACACACACACTTGAAAGGACGACTTAATGGGTCAAGAACATGCTATGATCATGAATCACCATTTTGGGACCAAAAAGTGACCTAAAAGAGCAAGAATCTAGATCTTCATGATAGAGAGGTAAAATTTCAAGCTTTATACCTTCAAGATGTTGCAAACCACGTAGAAATCCTAGATCCAAAGTGCTCTCAACTCCAAGATCTTTTCACCACATTCTTCTTTCTTCAAAACTACTTCAAAACTCTCTTAAAGGCTAAAAAATGGCTCTCCTTCTCTTAGGGTTGCTTATGGGTCCATATCACAGAAGGAGGCTGGGTAAGAAAAGGATATGGGTCCATAAAGATGCTTAAATATGAGCCAAACCCCTAAAAATTATGGTTTGCATGCTTGACACGTACACAATGCATACAGATGTACGCCTAGCATACTAGAGCGCGCTCTAGTATGCTCAACGTGCACACATATGGATGACGTACTCCCCCAAAACCCAACTTTACCATTTTTTTTTTGTGTGTGTGTGTTTTTGTGGCTTAAGTTCAGTGAACATGGATTTGCAATGCTATATGATGATCAACATTTTTTTTTTAAATGCTTTCGTGTATTTTGGGTCATCATTAACAAACATAATTTTGTTTATAATTTGAAACATTTTTGTTTAAAATGATGATATTTTTATCAATAAAGAAAGGTATGATATACCTCTTGTTTATTATTTATTAATGTGACAAAACATCACATCTTTATATAATAAAATCATTTATATTGTACCAAAATAATAGCTACTAGGGTAGTATCTTTTAAGAGAATTGAAATTTTAAAGTTTTAAATTGTACCCAAAATACCTAATAAAAGGCTATTTTTATTTACAGTTTTTGATATAATTTTCTAGTTTTTAACAAAACAAAGAAAAGTCAACATTATTTTCCAATGACTTCATCTAATCTCCATTATGGGTGGTAACATAAAATAATTAAATACATTAATAAATAATAAAAATTAATATAAAAGCAAAAGAAAAAGAAAGCTGAAACATTTACTTCGTATACAATACAAGAAGGGAGAAGAAGTGAGGGTCATACACACACGCACAAAACACAACTTCTCTCTCTTTCTTTCTCTCTCTCCCCTCGCCATTTTCACCTTCCTTTCCCAACCATTTATTAGATTCCTTCCCATAAGTCTCTTCTTTTTCTTCTTCCATTGGATTATTGTGCAGATGCTCATGTTCTTATGAAACAAAGAACCCATCTAAAAATCCTCTTTTTTCCCAATAATTTTGCTTTACTTTATGTGGAGTTTTAAAAGAAATTAAGCCCTCTTTTTCTTCTGGGAGTGTTTCTGGGGATTTCTTCAAATCTTCATAAGAACTCATCTAATACCCAGTTGAATTTTATAAATAATATTTCTGGGTTAAAATATTTGTCGAAAAATATGGCTTTTCTTTGCAGGGATTAGCTCATTTTCATTTTCATTTTCATTTTTCTTTTTCAATTGGGTATTTATTTTGATTTTCTAAGTTTAAGAGAAAAAACAAAATTGTTCAGAGATGGGGAAGCAAGGACCTTGCTATCACTGTGGTGTTACAAGTGAGTTTTTTCGTTTGAAGGAAGTGATTTTTCCCTTTGTTGGGACTTTGATTTACTAAATAAAACTGAGATTTCTTTTGCTGTTTTCTTTGTTTTCTATTTGCTCAGATTAGTTTCTGAGATCGTGCTTGACAATACGCATATGCTCGTTAGGTCTAAAGTTGTATAAAATTACCTGGAAATTTAACAACAATTATTGATAAAATATACGATTGTTATGCTAATTATTGTCTGTTTCTGAGAATTTTTTAAGTTATCATCAGAAATACGATTAATTATTCCAGTCTTTGGCAGCTTCAGATTGCCTTTGAATGTTGAATACGAGAAATGGTAGAAATTTCCAGTCTGATTTATCAGAATTCGATGTTTGACTTCTTGAAAACTTTATTGAAATTACAGAGCAGCCTCCCTTTAAATACCTTCTCGTCTAGACTCTAGTCAATACTTTTATTGCTTGATTTTACTTCAAATTCTAATGTCAACTCCCAATTGAATCCGCTAAATGCACATAACCTGTTTGATAAATTGCCTCTGAATGACTGAACTTGCTTCATTGTTTATCTCGAGCAACCATTCTATCTGTTTTCCAAATTGAAATTCTATCATTCTTTCTGCATTTGATAATTCTAACTAATGCACATTCCCTCACCATGAATACACAACATTACTTTGTTACATTTGGTGTTTTTATGAATCATTTAGCTTATTTAAATCCACAATATGATTTCAAACCAATCATCTTTGTTATTGAATCTATCTGGGATTGTTTCATTAGCTCTTATAAGTTATAATGGGATATAAGTTTTTTTTTAATAGTTTTAAAAAATTACAGGCACCCCACTGTGGCGAAACGGGCCACCCGACAAGCCTATATTGTGCAACGCGTGTGGGTCCCGTTGGAGAACTAAAGGATCACTTGTAAACTACACTCCACTTCATGCAAGATCTGAGCCTGATGATTTTGAGGATCATAGAGTTTCAAGAGTGAAGACTATATCTATTAAGAACAAAGAGGCAAAACTACTTAAAAGAAAACCGAATTATGACAATGTAGTAGGCGGTGGCACCGCTAGCTTTATGCTTGGCAGCGGTAGTGGTGGTGGTAGTGGCGGTGGTGGTAGTGGTGGGGGGTTCGGATACGACCACCATAACCAAGGTTTTCGCAAAGGTTTTGATGAAGACACAAGCAATAGATCAAGCTCTGGCTCTGCTATTTCTAACTCTGATGGCTATATGCAGCTGGGCAGTGCAGATGCTAGTGATTTAACAGGTTTGTTACTTTTTTATTAAAAGATTTTTAGTTTTTTGTTTGTAGAAAACTTATAAAGGTTTGAAAATTTTGCAAATTGATTATAAATTGTTATGTATGACATGACATGAACAGACAATCTTGTACTGTGTTTGGTGTGCATTGGACTAGAACCGAGACTGATGTCAAATAGGACAAAATTTGCATCTTTTTGTTTCACCCATAAAAAGTGGAACAAGATGGGTGGGCGATTCGCTCTAGATCTCTTGTATGTACAAAAGACGTAAATGCCCTTCATATCCTCATCATAAAAAATAGCCCTGCAGAGCTTGTTCCATCAAACAAATGCAGCCGTAAGGCTGCATTTGTTACACGGGACCAGACAAGCTTTCTAGGGCTATTTTTATGACGAGGATACGAAGGGCATTTACGTCTTTTGCACATACAAGAGATCGGGCGCGAGTTGCCTTCCCATCTTGTTTCACTTTTATGGGTGAAACAAAAAGATGCAAATTTTGTCCTATTTGACATCAGTCTTGGTTCTAGTCCAATGCACACCAAACGCAGTACAAGACTGTCTGTTCTTGTCATGTGCCATGTATGGCAAAAAAGAAGCTAATTTAAGGGATGTGTACTTTCAAAGTGGTTATTGCATCTTTAAGATTTATGTTTTCACTTTTTTTTTCAGGCCCATCTCAATCATCAATAGTGTGGGACACAATGGTACCTTCAAGAAAGAGGACATGCATTAACCGCTTAAAACAATCACCCGTTGAAAAACTTACCAAAGATCTACACACCATCTTACATGAACAACAATCTTATTTTTCGGGATCATCAGAAGAAGATTTAATCTTTGAAAGTGACACTCCAATGGTGTCTGTTGAGATTGGACATGGTAGTGTTCTTATGCGTCACCCAAACTCAACAACCCGTGAAGAAGAATCTGAAGCAAGTTCTCTTTCTGTTGATACTAAAAATGAAGCTTATTCACGCATAACTTCCTTTCCTGTATATAATGCTAACAAAAATGGTAACTTTTCAAGTCGCCCTAAAAACCCCATCACTCAAGATCATGCCAATAGGTAATCTTTAAAATTATTTCAATCTTTTAGACAATTTGATCATCTTTTGTTATAAATTTACTTACTTTTGTTATCGATTATAGGGATAATGACGACAAGTTTCAGATACTCATGAACCATAATTCTCCACTTTGCAAAATAGATCTAAAAGTAAGTTGAATTCCGGAATTCTGTAATTTCATGTTTGATTTACAATATTTTCGATACAAAAAACCAAATATTTATAAATCCAACACCTTGCAGGATGTTATAAACTTTGAGGAGTTCACAAATCATATGACGAATGATGAACAACAAAGATTGCTCAAGTATTTAACTCCTGTTGACACTGTTCAACTCCCCAATAGGTTTGAATCTTATCTTGTTAAACTTTAGATTAAAAATAATATCAAAGAGATTGTAAAAAAACATTTATTGTCAAATTTACAGCCTCAAAAGCATGTTTGATAGCCCACAGTTTAAGGAGAACCTATCTTCCTTCCAGAAGCTTCTGGAAGAAGGTGTTTTTGATCTTTCACTGAAAAATGAAAATGGTAGGAGTTTGAAGAAGCTTGCTCTTTGTAATGCAATGAAATCTGAATGGGTGGAGAAATATAATATGGTCCAGGTTTGAATTTGTATAAAAATGAAAACTTTATAAATACCCCATGTTGTAAAAATCGAATCTTTTTGAGTAAATGTTTACTAATTTCATGTTTGTTTTGGTTTCTTGAAGGATGCAAAGTGTAAATATGATAACGGAGGATCTGTAGTTGGTGGAGGGCGTAATGGTATGATACTTGGCCATTCTGTAAATACAAAAAGATTGCGAGATGCCCAATTCCAACCTTATCAAGGTTAGATTTGTCTTTTGCATCTGTTTATAGATTCCCACACAATTGGAATTGGAATTCCGGATTCCATTCCGTGGCGCGTTTGGTTGCCAAATGGATGCAATTCAATTCCATGTTTGATAGAGAGAAAGAATTCAGTTCCATTTTTTCCTTTTCATTAAAAGAACAAAATAATTAATCATGTGAGTTTTTAAAAAGCTCATTATTGCAAGTGATATCTTAAGTTTTTCATTTTGTGGGGTCTCATATCATTTTGTTTATTTTTATATTCAAAAGTAATTGGGACCCACACCAACAAAACCTATGATTGAATCTTTCAGGACCAAAGACAACAATGAAGAGCCCAAAAAGGACATCAATGAAAGCAAGCTATGAACAACAACAAAAGGAGATAATTGACAATGATGCCCCTGGATTCAGTCCAAGAAGCTTATTTGCATTACCACCTGATAACACCTCCCTCATGCTTGATTCCTTCAAATATGCAGATGAAAATTGTGATCAAGATTTATTACTTCATGTCCCTTCACACACATCTTTCCCTCAAGCAGAATTACTCAGGCCAACTTCAACTAGTAGTAGCTCAATATATCAAAACTTTGGTGGGCCCTAACAAACTTTCTAGGGTTTTATTAGCCGACTTCTTGTGACTTTTTTTTTTTTTTTACTACTTCTACTATGGTAAAAATATCCAAAGACCATTGTAAAACTTTGTAGCCTCTGTATAAGTCCGTTAGCATTGTGGTACTTGAATAACTTGCTATCGTGACTTTGTTGGTTTATATGCTTGGGTGCTACACTACATTTGCAACACCATTTTTTTTTTTTTTTTTTTTTGGCATCAAATCCCAAACATTAAAATGTCTGCAAACTAAGATTTTATCTTTACGCTTTGCTTTGTTTGGGTTCTTTTTGTATGTGATCATCGCCAAAGATTGTAATATAAAAAGGTTAGACTTGATATGCAATTTTGAAATTACTATTATCTATGTGGGACCCGTTGAAAAGTATTGATTAGATCGTAGGGTTCGTAATCCGTTTGTTGATTTGGAAATTAGGGTTTGGTTTAGGTATGTGTTTGGTTTTGTTTTTATGTGGGTAGGATTTAATTGTGGTGTTGACACCTTTGGAAGAGGTAATGACTTTTTGTTGCTTGTTTTTTGTATTTTAGTATTGATTAGGTTATGCCTAAATATTGTGGAGTTGTTAACTTGTTATGCTGATGTTGTTTTCCAATAGTAGGCATTTATAACTTTAATTGGTTATCATAGAGAACTTCATTGTCACACATCTTGTTATTGGTTTTAGAGTCTTTTTTATATATCTTGTATGGATAAAAAGTTTGGTAGATGATGTATGTGTGGAGATCGAAGTATGTGTTGTATATGTAAAGTACGTTTTTTTAGTGTGAGTTAACATATTAAATATGAATAAAAACGGGTTTGGTAAAATGTGTTAGGTAAAAATTATGGTCTTAATGTGTAAAGTTGAAAAAATACCGATGTAGATATGTCTGGTTTAAATTGAGTATGTATTAAGTAAAAAAAAATCATTTTATCCTAAACCGATTATTTGGTATAACTCTTGGATACGTGTATTTTTCTATATGCCTTTATGCTAAGTTTTTGCTTATCTAGCCGACCTTATCATGGGCTCTTTATTTTCTTCTTTTAGATGCAAGTTTAAAATATTTGATTTTTAAGGTATTATCATCTAGAAAGGAGTTAAGTATCATTAAACCTAATTGCTTTTTTAATCTTATGGTGGAAATATGAGAGTAAGATGGCATATTTGAGTGTTTTGACTATGTGGGAAGCATGTGAATTAGGTTTGAAAGCTAGTGCTCTATTGCTTGATTGATAGTGATGAGATCTTTACCTACAACCATACAAAAGTGATAAAAGGGGAAAAAAAGAGCCCAAAAGCTTTCTTTATATTCATCTTCTATTATATGCAAGCCTATCAATGGACAACTTTACTCAAGAAATAGCTTTTTATAGGATCATATGAAAAAACTAGAGCTAAGTGTAGCCATATATATTTGGCAAAAATTATTTAAGAAATTGTCATGGTGTTCTTGTTTTAATAATATTTCACCATCATGATGTCAAATCATTACATAGTGGTATATAGTGTTCAACTCTATCGTTTGCATACATACCCTAAAGATGCATATTTTGTTGAAATAGACAACTTAGGTCGGTTTGTGTTGTGGACCTAACACTTGGGTATTAATTGTCATATAATAGAGTAGAAAAAAAAAAGATTGTTACAAGAAAAATGAAATCATTGTTAAATATTACTACAAACAAACACACCATCAAATATAGTTTTCGAAATTCATGTTCAAAATTCAAAAACCTATCTCAAAAATAAAACTTTTATCTAAATAGATACCTAATACAAAGATATAATAAGTTCTTGAAAAGCTAGCATCATGACAGTTTCTGGGATGCAAGCTTAAATCTTGAAAGCATGATCGGAGTTATTTTTGTATTGAATTTTCATCAAAAAATTGAAATTCAAACGTTTCCATTGTTATGTTTAAGCTTATTGATGTTATCTTTATGTTTTTGGGTTTTATCAGACATCATGTAGCTCATAGCATCCTCTTGTTCTCAGGGGCATTTTCACAAACACCTTATGTGCATTGTTCACTGAAGAATTGGTCAACCACACTACAAAAGCTTCTGTTACCCAGTTTTCGATTTCAATCTCATTAACCCCACATCACGCAATCATTATCCTCCAAATCAAAAACTCGATTCTCTTCCGAAATCCCAAGATTAACCAGAATTCCAAATCCTCTGTTTTACGCGCCTCCCATTCACAACCGTCGCATCTCTTCGACCTCAGCCCCACCGCGTCACCGCCCAACCGTTTATTTTCCAATCAACAACTTTCGTCTTCTCGGCGGCAGCTGACTGTCAACAGCGGAATTCTAAGAATGAACGCGTCGCTAGGAATTAGGTAAGCAAAAAAATCAGCTATGATTCCGGTTAGGTATGATCGGTGAAGAAAATGGATGTTATGCGTTTACAGTTTCCGATTATCCGGTTTCTTCCTCTGATATTTTTGACTAAAGCTCTCTTTTTTAAAGATCAGTTTTTCCCGCCAAATTTCGTTGGGTAGTGGCTTCATGAGCAGGTACTTTCCCGCCTTTTATATTGTCATGCAAAAAGCAAAATATAATATTTTTCAGTTAGCCCCCTTTATTTACGAAAATGTTCTATATGTAACAAAATTACAAAATGATAACAAAATATCAACAACTTTTTATCTACTTGATACTTAAATTCTTATAATTATAATATATGTATTATATTTGTTTAATCATCGTTTAATTATTTAATATGAATAATCATCAATCAATAGCTTTAATAAATTACAGATTCTCATTATTTTGTTTTTTTTCTTGTGTTACGTTCAAAGTTATCCATTTAGATTTTTTAAAGTTTTCTTTCCATGTTATTAAGATTAAAAAAATTTAAAAATTAAGATTTCATGAAATATAAGATGAATTTATTCTTGGTTTGACAAAAATGGTTTAAAGCCTAGCGGTATCTGGTGTTGCTTTCCCCCCTGAGGTTGATGGTTCAAGTCCCGTTATGGACATATGTGAATTTAAGGTGTAGTGACATCCTCGCCCAAATAATTTACAAACATGTCCAATTTGTCATTTATATTGTCGAACAAATCATCGACAGCAGGATTTAATTAAGAATTGAAGACATGTTCCATCAAATCAGCGTAAACTTCCCTTGTGTTCACCATGTATTCCGTCATGTCAATACTCACTCCTACAAATGTTGTTAAATTCTCATTTTCATTGTAGTGATAAATTGTTTTTCACTCATCTTCTATAATTACATTATACAATATGATACATGTGTACATCATGCTAGTTATTCTTTTCCGTCTGAATGATTAATGCCACTGAGAGTATCTGCTAACACCAAATGCTCACTCGATATGTTTCCTAGTTGATTTTTGGGATGACTTAAACTTTATTTTATTATTTTATTATTTTTTTTTTTTTTTGCGTTTGGACATGGGAATGATTTCACAAATGTTACCAACTCTGTATATATCTCATCAGTAAGGTAAACTCACACTTGTATAACTGGTGGACGTCGCTAATTGTAGGTTTGCGTAAATATAGTCCACGATAAAAGATAATCACAACTTTAGCAAACCTGTATAAACATTCCCGTGTTTTTCGTTTGACTATCCTCAAATACTCATCACATGAGTCTGATCACATGCCGAATGCTAGTTGACGAAATGCAGTTATATATTTTTGAATTATAGAGAAACCTTTATGGCATCTTGCATTAGTCTTTTGTTGAAGATATGAAAATCGATTTTTCACATCTTCAACAATGCGTAGAAATAATTATTTCATCATTCGGAACCGGCGCCTGGATTTCTCAGCATAGACTCCATCATTGTCAAAGTAGTCATTTATGAGGTGGTTGTGCCCGATATCATTATTTCTCCGTAAAGGAGGATTTCTAATTTTTTATTGCAAACTTTTGGCTTCATTTTCTTATAGATAAGTGAGTGTTGTTCGTATAACATTCCCAATAAACGATGATTCCCGCAAGCCAATGTCTCTGAAAAAGTGGATGGTGATGAAGACACTTTTAAATTGTAAATATAAAGAATTTAAGTGTTTGGTATTTATTTTGTGGTTTGAAATGTGAAGTTTGAATATGTATTTATAATAGACATTTTTTTTTTGAAAAAACCTATCAGATAACGGTCACAAAGAAGGCAATGGGCAAAACAAGCATGGGAAAAAGCTCTAAGACGATGGACATACCACACACCGCAATGACATATCACCCACCGTGATGTGTGGTTTCAAGCCATCCATACCCCTATCGATAAATATAAATGAATCCTCACTTCCATCTCCAATAGGGACCGGGGATTCCCAACGGTAAATCCTGATTTCTTTTACTATTTTAATATAAAAGTCTTATGTATATAAAAACTCTAAATTTCAATTTTACCAACATAATGTTAAAGATTTTACAAAACATAAATACATTCATAGATTACATAAAAACTATAAACATTCTTTCTACCCAAATTTAACTGAAACATGGAAAATCAAGTAGAAAAAAATTATTGGAATGATATTTGAGGTAAAACATAAATAAACCAATGAGAAAAAAAAAATTATATATAGGGTTAAATTATATAAATGATTAGATAAAAGTATAATTTCAACAAAATAATTACTAATAAGTTAGGCTTGTTGAGAGAAGAACTTAGGTGCTAAATAGATTATGGTGCAAAATTTAAGTTAATCTCATGGATCTTTTTAAACCGAAAGAATAAAAGATTATCATTATTAAGTAGAAAACATAACAAAAAGATACAACATTAAATATAAACACGTAAAACAGATACTTGTTGAATCATAGCATGGTTTGCAATCAAACACAAGTCAATAAGTGATGAACATGAAATATAAAAGATAAGGAGATTTGTATTTCACTTGATACGATTACAAGGAAGATGGAAATCAAACACACATTTTAAACGATTACAAGACTGTCTATTTATAAAAAGAAATAGTACAAGTCTCTAAATAAAATATCTCCAAAGCAATCATGTAGAAGATGGCCATGCTTCCCACATTTTGGACTGGCAAACCCAACCTAACACACAATGTCATAAAGTGCGTTGGATTGGTATGTACTTGAATTGATAGTAACAATGTTCTTTTAGGTTGTCTTCAAACATGACAATTGAATAGGATAACTGTTAGAGAGAGAAGAATAATTTATTAATTTATTAA